TTTTGACTCTGTACATCGTCTAAATGTTATAAAATCATAATGTTTCGGTAGGTGTCATCATGTAAAAAAGGGAACACAAACACAACAATCTGTTGGCCACCCTGTTTGAGCTAGCCTCGATCCTGGATACCCAGGTTTCTTTCTTTTTACTTACAATGGAAGTAGACTCCAGCTTCCGAAACGTTGTAGTTTTTTAAAAAAATTTAGAAGAAAGATGAAATTTAAAAGAACAGTTTTACATATTATAACGCAACATCGTCAGAAACCTTGAAACTTCGACCAAGAAGAGGGTTAAACTATTTTCAATTGCATCTTTTTACCAATTCAGAGATCAGGACAACATCCATAAATGCCACAGTAAAAACGTAAAGGTACAATTTGGCTGCACGCGACAGAGACAAGCGACCGAGGCAGGCGACAGAGACAGGAGACGGACACATCGCAGCTTGTCGCCACACACTTCTGAGGTGACGACCGAGACATGCGGCAAAGTGTTTGTTTTCTTTGTTTTGTTGAGACATACGTGCACATATTCTGTAAAAAATGAGTACAAAAATGGTTCTAAAAAGGTTACTCGAAGAAGAAGATGTGTTGCTGTGTTATTTGTTGCGAAAGAAACAAAGAAAACCTATGAGTTCAATATTCAAAACCAGATGTGAAGAAGGTTTTTTCTGTCGGTGGTCGGTGGTCAGTGGTCGGTTTTCTGCTACTAATTCTACCAATTTCTCATCTTGGTCACCAGTAAATTTAATTTCTGCCATTATTTTACTCAACAACACACGTGCTGCCTGAGCCCGTCGCGAGACACTACTGGTCCGAGAGCGGTCTCCTGTGCTTTGTCTCTGTCGCCTGTCTTTGTCTCGCGCTCGTAATTGTACTTCATACGATTGTACAGAGAGCAGACAGGAAGCGACCAGTCTCGGTCTCGTAACTCTGTCGCTTGCCTCGGTCGCTTGTCTCTGTCGCGTGCAGCCAAATTGTACCTTAACAGTCCTATGCTAATCCACTCGATACATGCAGACTGTGGTCACAAAATTAACTTCATTGTTATGGGTCAGCAGACGCACATCACTTGACGTAATCACAGTTCTATATGAAGTTTCGTATTTACAATGATTGATCAGTTTTGCTAATCTTCTTAGCTGCGATACGCAACAATAGGTCCAATACTGTTTGACATACGTACCTGTAAAGCAGTAGCAGGTTTTGAACTCGGTGAATCGGAAGTGCCCTGTTTATCTGCATAAACATTCTTACCCTACCGAACATGATTATGGTCTGAAGACCGAAGTATTTTGTGAAGAAACTGAATTTTGTTACTTAAATTTGTTGTTAAATAGTCAAATCATAACTAATAGAAAACACTGTAATTTACGTTATTAACTCCACGTGAGCAATTATCCTAATAACTATTCAGTCAGTCAAGAAATTCCCTACTTTTTCTGAAGCCAAAAATTCATCAAAATTTCCCTCACCCAAAGAATCCAAGTAAAAGGCACTGTATAATATTTCATAGCATAGCACCTATTACATTTTGCGGCGATCAAGCTCAGCTGTCGGCGACTGCCTATTAAAAACATTTAGTTATTTGAATAAAAATTTCCTTGGATATTTTCCATCGTCTAGTAAAATATAAAACGTAAAACGACGTTTCGGAGATGGGACTCTATCTCCGTCTTCAGGTTCCTACACTTCCTACTAGACAATGGATAATATCCAAGGAAATTTTTATTCAAATGACTCTTCACCATCGTCAAGAAGTTTTAGATTTGATATTCATTTAGTTATCTTCAATATCTTAAGGCCGTGTCCACCGTTTGCTATCTGAGCATGCGCAGTACTATAATGACACGGGTCCATTTGTGACCTTTAAGATCCATATTAATTTTACATACCTCTAAGACACGAAGCGCAGTTTATTTCGCTCAAATTTCAAAACAGTAGAGTTCACAAGTTGGACTGAAATGCAATTTTCCAAATGTTAAGACTGAACGTGACATGTTACACCCGAGTGATAACCCATGACAAATCAAATGGACGAAATAGCTTTATTTATTTTTTCCTTTATAATCTATCTTTCTTTCACTTTTATCTTCTTTCTTTCATTTTTTTTAACTATTATGTTTACAATTTTAATATTATCGGATGGAGTCGGGCCGCAGAGCAGAATGTTCAAACGGTGCAATAATATTTAACACATGGAACTGTTTACAGGGCAGTTTAAAATTTGTTATGGTGAAAATTCATACAAATTTAAAAAATTTAATTAGAACAAAACAGCACACAAATATAGACCGCAAAGGGTTAAGGGGTAACCTAAGCCTATTAGGAAGTAATAACGAATAATCCCAACGAACATCACATAACATGACTAGTGCTGCCACTGTGCAGGATTCCGCAGTATTCTGAACTAAGTTTCCATGCGTCTCAACCCGTAAGCCCATTTAGAACAGTAGCCAAACTAGTTTCGTTCGAGTTCATGAATGCGCTCCGACTTGGAAAGAATATCTAGCGTGTTTTGTTTCCTTTCCTTTTTTTCACCGGCGTCACGTGGCGTGGAACAGACTAATAACCCCGTGGTAAAATCTGAGTCGTGATCACGAAAGGAACAAAAAGCAAAATTACATTGTGTGAAATTTTCAGTAGCAGAGTAAGTGGAGTAGAGAGTGGAATCGGAAGGCAACTTCCTCTCTTCCAAGTCTTCTGTTCGTCTGTCTGCAATTTTATGAGCGACTTATGTACGACTGGCTGAGGCCGTTGAATAACTACGTCATTCATACATGCCACATACCCATATCTCATTCTGCGCACTCTTTACTCTGTTCGTGCTAAGACTTTTCAACAAATACAGTCTGCTTTGAAGTTGACTGTCTTCTGGGATGTTGCGCCGTGTAGTCAGGTAGACGTTTACCGATCATCGCCCTGATGATGGAGGTAAATAGCAAGCGCCGGTAAACATCTACCAGACCATACAGCGCAACTTTCCATAAGACAGTAATCTTCATATGCTGTGCCGTGAGAACCTGAAATCTCACATATTATAATTCATTTTGTACTAATATTTCAATTGTAATGTATACGTCAATTTGTTTTGCGTAAAGTTAAAACTATTTAAATACATTAATTTTTGTTGTTTATTTAACGATGCTATTAGTATCTTAGACTACACAGTGTCGAACAAATTTAATATCTTGTACCTGCAGGAGATATTGAAGTAATAACGTCTCACACAAGAAAAAAACATTAAGGGCATAAGAATCTTATTTCAAAATGGCATGTCCCGCTCGTGGCATGGATGGGAGTAATCCAATCAGCATCGTTTAAACCTTGGGATTAACCCTGGAAACAGCTAAATCACAGGTAACTCCAAAACCACCGATAGCAAAGACCGCCATTAAACATTGTTTTTTACCAATTCCAACCACCTCCCTTGAATAGAATGTTGTCCCGTTCGGTTTATCACAATGTTATCTCCCCCTCTTAGTCATCAAAATGGCCGCTTTGTGAAATGCTTACACCCCAAAAGTCTTTGTGGATTTCTTGTCTCCCCATCTGATTTACATGTCCAGCCAATCATAATTATCTTCTCTTCTCTTGCGAAATGTTGGTGCAAAGGGCCTTTTGAAATATCAGGAGATTTTCCCTTAAGATTAATGTTAAAAATAAGATTCCAGTAGAAAATGTCCCAATTGGTTGATTATATAAATTCTTGTTCTAGTAGAAGACCTGTTTCACTTACTATCATCATGTCATCATGCAATATTAAGTACGCCTCCTACTTGGCTACACTAAAATAAATTGTACCCATAACAAATTCGTCGAAAATATAAAACTTCACTGCTTGTCTTTCTTATATAAAGTGGAAGGACAATAATGTTAAATTCCGTTTATTACCTAAGGAGAGCTGGTTCTTCCATATTTCCTCGAAAATAAAGCGCATTGATCCTATTATCCTTGCACTGTGTCAAACACACGACTGTAATCCTGCATTCAGGCAGCTATTGGCGCATGTTAAGGTTATTGTAAATAAACAGCAGCCAACATCGACAGATGATTCACTGGTTAAAACATGCGAAGGAAATTACGTACTTTATGGGAATGGTTTTCTTTTCCCGCTCGTCCAATTTGTAAAGACCGCCAAATAATGCAATACTAGGATCGTAGGATTTGAGGTTTTCACGGCGGTGAGTGAAGATGGTTGTCTTCTGGGTTGTTGCGCCGTGTAGTCTGGTAGAAGTTTACCAACGTTTCAGTGACTACACAGTGAAACTACCCAGAAGACTGCAATCTTCATTACTAGGGTAGCAGATATTGACCGCATCACTTGTAGCTTTGGTCCTGTTCATCTGCCCTCTACCCTACTTTCACTTATGGAATACAGAATGCAGCACATTCCTATAGCAGTGGACACGCAGAATTACAACACATTTCTGAAAAACGCTCCACTTTGTAGGCTGCATCAACTGTATTTGTGACAAGTGGGACATTTGTGAATAAGAAACGGGAAATTCCAGCATTCTAGTGGTTTGCAAAAAGCTCAACGCCATCAAATAAATCTAGATTTCTCGCTACCACGATATTATTTTCTAGATCTTGCAAAAGTTCTATGTTTTCGAAGATCTATTACCACCTAGAGATTTTTAGAATCTTACTTCAGCCGTGCTAGTGTCGCTCCCACCTCACAGTTCTTATTCCCGCTTTACTCATGTCATTGATGGTAGCATTTAAAGAGTACAATGGTGGGATGACCTAGTGGCATGTCGTTCAAACAAACTTTTATGAAAATCACTAGATTATGTATAAAGTTAGAAAGATACGAGGGGCATGTTACCGTAAGCCTGGCTTTTCTTACAAAAAGATACGAGAAACAGACCAATGTAACTGCAACAAGATTTGGCACGTATCTTTATTACTTCACAACAGTGAGTGCTGCACTCTGTTGTCGGAAAGGGCTAAACATCCAAGACGCGAGCGATTCAATAATCGATACATACGATTAATACTGTTCCTAACATCCCGCAAAACATACGATAGTCACAACATGGCGGTTAAAGAGAAGTCAGAAAATGTTGCAGAAGGGATAGAATGGAATGTTGATACTGAAGTTCAATTATTCTACGCAATGCATGGTCATAAACCAGTGGGTAAGATATGACTGTATTCATTTTCAAAGCAATGTGTTGAAGTGTTATGGTATATTCAGAGTATTTGGTATAGTATGAAAGCCGACTTCCATTTATTCTCTTTCTCGTTTGCAGGAGTGAACAAATATTTCCAGATGGCCTGTATTTTGGAGAAATTTAGAAACTCTGTTAATAAAGATATAACGTCGAAAGTAATATGGGATCATTTGGACACCATGTATGATATGCAAGCTTTGGTACGTATTAGTGATAAGTTTATAAATGTTTCATGAATAAGAATTTCTAGTTTCTGGGTAAAAATTCTGTTTTCCTGAAAGAAGCCAGTGTAATATCGGTGACCGCAAAGCTTTCCTTCGCCCCATCAGGCTAAGAAACCGTTACATATCTGTATCTTCTGAAGTATACTGATGTGAATATCCAGGTTATGTTTCGTTACTTCAGCTCCCTTTTAATAATACAGTTTATCCCAGAAGACTTTAGGAGGCTGTGCGATCTATCTAGTTTACTAAATGTAATGAAGTTTTGGAAGAGGCCATTAAAATATAAACTTGTTCTCATAGGAATTATATTCTTTTATCAAAATATTTAAAAATTCACATGGTTCCTTTGCAGGTCACTGCATAACAAGTTAAGACTTAGTGATTAGTAGTAATATTTAAATCTCTACCCCAAAACTGGCTCTTCAGACCAAGATGTTTCATTGTTTACCTCAGTCCCTGCAAACAAATTCTGGCACAGTTCCTTATGTATTCGTTCCAATAGTATATTGTTTATCATATCCTATCATTTGATGCAAAAGAGTATGAACTACTGGTGATGTTATTAAATAAACAATAAATAAAACTTCAAATGTTTTAGGCATGTCATGTATGGTATATCTGCAGTGGAATTTATTTTTATTACCTTAATAAATAATCTTAGTATGCTAGTCATTGAAGCACTTAAAACATGCCAAAATACCCATTAGCACATAAACACCTAAAGCATAACATAATAGAGTAGAGTAGAGTTTATTTACATTCCATAGATCCTTCTTAGGACTCAACCAAAGGATGTAGAACATGTCATTTCATACAATATACATACACTTCACAACTTTCAACACAAGTACAAGAACGTATTTCACATATCAATGTACATAAATTTCAGATTCTGCAATACAAGTATGAAAAATAATTTTACAAATTAATATACATAAACCTCAGAATTTTAAATATAAATACAAAACTTGCTTTAACATATACATAGATTATGGATATAAAGCTTAAACATTTTCAGCAGAGATGAAATCATCTACAGAATAGAAGG